GAGGAGGAGGAGGAGGAGGAGGAGGAGGAGGAACAAATATACATATTTTAACATGTAATAAATAATGAGCAATCTTTAATAATAATTGTAACAATTTTATCTTAGAAAAATATACGCCCCTGAGCGTAAGACAATGAAAGCTAAACATATAAAGAATTTTTATCATGAAACATCTATAACAATCACAATCATAAGATTATATAGAACAATTAACAACAAAGTACTTAAAGAATATTAGCTGCTAACTAATACCGGTTAATCACTTAATTTTGCACTACTTTGTCACACTACCCGCCACTTATTACTCATCTGCACACTGTTCTCACCTCAACTGCCTATCTTCAACTATCTAGGCTTCCTTCCAGAATTCCCTACCTAAGCGCTTGTTATTTGTGCTTCCTTCTACCGACCGTTAATATTACTTTTTCATTATTGTGCAACACTCATGTAACAGGTGACGTCGAAGTTGATAAGATAAGTACGGTTTTGCACAAAGTCTGTCGCGTGCTCACGTGGTATGCAGCAGCTGTGTAGCGTTATGTTAAGCGCTGTTGTGTAGTTGTGATGAAACTCCCCAATATTAATAATGGCTGTATTTTGAAAACTGTTAATCTTACACCCCTGTAATATAGAACTTTTTTTTTCATTTATGATTACTTTATCTTATGCTGAAGTAATGGCAGTCAAACTTCTTACACCCTGTAGATGGTGAACTGTTTATATTTAGTTACTATTGGAAATAAAACAGTTTACATGTTTTCTTTAAGATACATTTGATATTTATCTGAGAGCAATTTTTAGCCCTTTATCTTTAGCCGATTTAAAAGCAACTGATGGATAGATTTTCATTTCTTAGTTTACTCGTATCTGATAGACGGAAACTTTATTCCTTAATATTCCTGCAAAATATACATCATAACGTCAGTTGTTCAAGTATACTACGCTTGTTAAATTTTCATATATCTACCTATCACTGGAACACGAAATTTGAGAACAGTTTATCTTCCTACTCCACGAACAGATGTTTTGAAATTTTCGCCACTTTATAGTATTAATAGAGAAAAACCGTACCGATTTCTAATGATGATCCAGTAACCTTATGGTTTAGGTCTATAGTAGTTTTTATGGTAGTTCACACATGTGTAACTTAATATTACGAATCAAATGACTGTAGTAAATTGTAAACTTACAATGAATACCCACAATTTCATCCTGCAATAAAAAATCAAATTTCACAGTTTGATTCTTTAACGTGAGACATTGAATCAAATTATTAAACATTTACAAATGAATTAAGTTCATACAGTGTCATACAAAATTGTAATATTGACTATGTCAGCGCTTCGGTTTACTTCTTAATCTTGGAACAAAATTTTTGATTTGGTACTTCGGACTGCGTTTTCTTTAAATCATTTTGTTTTTACTCACAACCCTATGCTCTGAGAAATATAATCACTGTAATTTACTTCTCGAAGAACCTCAGTATTATTGCCATTTGGTATTTCAAAACAAATTTTAAACAATCTTTCCTGGGAAATTAGTTTGTTGTTCATCAACCAATTCAACGATATTTTTACTTAATTTTTTTACAGAAAAAAGCTCAAAGTAACTTGTACTACAAATTGCAATAACCATATTTTAACGTCCCTGCAATAATACAATACAGTCAGAGGATAGGTTAGGTTTAAGTGAACCAAGGATGATTTTTTTGTAATTCCTTTCTAGATCAGAACATTGGTTTCCACAGGATCATTCTTTTCACGAATGATGCTGGCTTTACACGGAGAGGGATTATAAATATGCAGAACAGTCATGAATACACGGATAAAAATCCACATGCTGCAGTAACCCGTCATTACCAAAGAGCGTTTAGAATAAATGTGTGGACAGGTATTGTTGGTCCAGTTATTTTACCAAACCGCTTAAACGGCGCCAGTTATTTGAATTTCGTACAAAATACTCTTCCTGAATTACCGGAAGATTTGCCTTTACAATTACGTCATGAAATATGGTTTGTGCACGATGGTTCGCCTCCGCTCCACACTGGCCACCGCGATTTAAATAAATGTGACTTTTTCATTGGGGGACTTTAAAAGATTTATGGAACTGCATCAATAAATGCACCATTATAAAAAATGACATTCAATTACACAGGCCGACAAAATTTAAAAAAAAAATTCCAGAGATCAGACACTACGCTTCCGAAGGCATTTGGCGCGCTGAATCTGAATCTGGCCTCAGAATTGATCCATCACCCTAGGTTTCCGAGATATTCTAACCTAAAGTGCAAAAAACACGTACTTTTGCTATATTCAAGTTTATGTAACTTGGCGAAAAAAATTTTTTTCTTAAAACTGAAAACATCACTGGAAACGACTATCTTTCCCCTTCAAAACGCATTTTTTTATTTGGAAAAAGCTCTATTTTTCGCGGAGATATCGTCAATTTAAGATAACCAGTATGGCTATATTATTACATCATGGCTAACCCCATAACACTGAGCGCTGCTAGCCCTAATTGTTAGGAACGTTAACCCCAAGCCCTATAACCCCACAACACTAAGCGGAGCGAGCGCCCTCATCGTCAGGAAGGTTAACTTCAAGCCCTATAACACAATAACACTAAGCGCTGCGAGCCCTAATCGTCAGGAAGGTTAACCCCAAGCCCTATATGTCTGGAAGGTTAATCCCAAGCCCTATAACCCCACAACACTAAGCGCTGTAAGCCCTAATCGTCAGGAAGGTTAACTTCAAGCCCTATTACCCAATAACCCATAATACCCATTAATTGTGTTATAGGTCGAGCCATGGTTTAATAAGGTAGCTATACTGATCATCTTTAATCGACGATATCTCCGCGAAAAATAAAGCTTTTTACAAATAAAAAAATGCGTTTTGAAGGGGAAAGATAGTAGTTTCCAATGATATTTTCAGTTTTGAGAAAAAAAATTTTTTTCGCCAAGTTACATAACTTTGAAAATAGCAAAAATACGTGTTTTTTGCACTTTTAGGTTAGAATATCTCGGAAACCTAGGGTGATGGATCAATTCTGAGGCCAGATTCGGATTCAGCGCGCCAAATGCCTTCAAAAACGCAGTGTCTGATCTCTGGAATTTTTTCCTTGTTGGCCTGTGTTATTGAATAGAGTAGGGTTCATTTATGTGTAAGAGAAAATGGGAGCTGCTTTGAACATAATCTTCTTAATTTTTTAGTATCACTTAATTAGTTTCATAGAAATAATACTGTTTAACTTGCAGATTTGACAACAATCCATTGTTTATCTGTCAAATCTAAAAGTTAAACTT